ATATCATAGGGACAGCCCCAATACCAGAAATGGCGCGCGATTACGGTCTCCGTCCCCGATTATGGCTCCTGGTTAACCATCATAGTCAAATGTCCTTTTTACAATCTGTCTAATTTCTCGCGCGCTGATTGGCTCATTTTTATCATCAATAAGAGAACAGATGGTTAAAATTTTAATTTATGCAAGCATTCAAGTTCAACTTTCAGCTGTTAAACTGTCAACTTTTTAACCAATGCTATTTTATGGACTTTTTTAAGCAGCCAATCAAAGAGCGAGAAACGCTATGGACAATGTTCGCGTCATTTTGAATAAAATTCATTTGCGGCTCGTGGTTCCGCAGCCACTTTGACAATGTTATGACGCAATTTATCATCAAAAAGAGGACAGACGCATAAAAAAAACTGACGTCGATTTGTTAATTTGCATTGAAGGCACAACGCCTGTAAGACAAACTTTTCGAAATTAACGACTCAGTTTACAGTCAGTGTACATAAAGTGCATAAGTCATAGACAGCAATAAAATAGTGGCAAAAATCAACCTCGTTCCCAGGGTCCCCACCTCCAAGCCAGGGAAAAGACCCTGGGAACGAGGTTGTGGCAAAAATGTCAATTATGTCAAATGGTGCAAAACACAACGCCGAAGAGAATACTCAGTGTCAATGAGGAGAGAGACAGTCTTAGTCAAGAAAGAAGTGAAACTGTAGTGGTAGAACCGTGTTGATGCTACCTCAGGTTATAATTTTGTTGATCAGATGATCATATTCTCCAAAGCCGACACCAATAACGATTTTTGCTTGAGTGCGTCACAAGGCCCCGTCCACACTGTACTACACCGAAGGAATTTGAAAACCAAGGTTTCACTCTGAAAACGCATCAAATGTTTTCCTTCTACACTACGAGAGAGAAATTTGAAAACGCAACAATCACCGGTCATTTTTGGATTTGCGATTGAAAAAAACCCGAGCGGAGAATTAGGAGGTCATCGTTTTCAAAAAGTTCTGTTTACAAAATGTTTTATGTCCACACGAAAGCGAAAAGCCGGCGCTTTCAAATTCCTCCGGTTTGAAGAGCGTTTTCTAAAAGCTCCGTTTTTGTCACGGATTAGTGTGGACGGTTGGCCTAACCGTAGAAATAAAGCTGCGTTTTCAAGTTCCCCCGGCGTAGTGTGGACGAGGCGTAAGAAACCATGATAAAAAGACAATCATGAATTCAAATGTGTCACTCGTTTTATTTGGGTTTTTATTTTGCTTCTCCTCGCATCCAATATAGAAGGTTCATAAAAACAGACTTATAAAAGCCAAAGTAATCACTTTGGCCAATCAAAAATTACCACACAGTCCAGTTAACCAATCAAAACTCGAAGTTAATACAAAACGCGGGAAAACGTGTCAGCGCGCCAGTCACGATTGGTAATAAAATGTTAGGAAAGAAATACACGGTGACGAAAAACCGTAAAGAAAGCTTTATTGTGCTTAGTAGAACGAATTCAGACACAGAGAGAGCTGACCAAGGTTACAAGCGTTTGCGACGTTTAAAATAAAGCTTGTGGGCTGAACTCTTTAATGGACTTTTTTCGGGGACACGCGGCGGCTATTTTGAATTCTATCGTTTCAAATAGCTATTATGGGATGCTTAGGGGGCAAATTAGAATATATTTGCCCCCTAAGCTTCCCATAATAACTGCTTGAAACAACAGCATTCAAAATGGCCGCCGTATCGCCGAAAAGGTCCAACAAATAACAAAGAACTGAATTGTTATTCGTTACTTTCTGAGGTTCCTACAAAGAGATCATTCCAAAAAAGATTTGACTCGCCCGGTGTGAGAGAAATTAAGAATGCATGCCTATTTACAAAGTATCGTTAACATAAAAAACTAAAACCAAACTATTCACCGATAATCTGATATATATGTTATAAGATCAGCTTGCTATGTACTCATCTGAGATAAGCAACTACGTCATCGTGTGCAAATAACCGATATATCCCCACATCAATGGTATATGTACACGCAACAATTTGTTTAAATTGAAGACATTACAGTGCACCCTATCAGACATTATTCCAACACTTAAGTAATGCATAATTATTACGTCGAGAAGTAGTCCCATTTTACGGCTTCACAGGACAGATGCATATCTTTATTTTTGCAGACGTTTTTGACAGTGTTTTCAATCACAGATCCAGAAGCACTTACAATTATAAATGACCGTGGATACTGTGTCAATTTCTGCTACCTAATTCAGGGACACAATTTACAGTTAGTTGAAATTAATTTGCAGTTTATAGGCTGTGCATGTCACATCACAAGATCACGCCGAAGTTAGGTTTCTGAGCAGCAAGCTCTTCAAGCGTCAGTGGAATACCAAGAAGAAAACACGTCCCCCTCAAAGCTGAGATTGAAAGCTCCGTCGTCTTCATCCGCGTCGTACCTCTCAGCCGCCGCGTACATATCCAGACGTAGCTCTTCCACCTGCTGCTCCTCGTTTAACTCCGCGTCAGCTTCAGCGTAGGCAGCCTCCGCGTTTACTCCCCACCGTCGCTCGACAATGTGATCCAGCAAGCGTTCCTCCGCCCACTCCTCGCAGTAGAATCCGCTCAGAGATGACTCCAGTCTGGTAAAGCGCTGAGCAACCAAGTCCATAGGCTTGAACTTCCGCTTGGCCATCGTTTTCTTCTTGATCTTTAAAGCCATCAAGTCTTTATTCATTTCTTCTTCAATGTTCTTCTTCTCTAGCGGCTCGTCGGACACCATTACCTTGTTTGGCTGCATGCCGGTGAATTTTCTAAAGCGCCTTATCATGAAGTCGACGATTTCGTATTCATTTTCCTGCTCGTCTATGCCCTCCTTCACTTCGGAAAACACGTCCAGAACAATGGTAAGGAACATGTTCATCAAAATAAACGTGCCAAAGACCATGAAGGTGAAGAAGAATATGGGCCCCAGAATAGGGGCCGCCTCCTCAATGGCCCTGTAATCAAACGATCCCAGTAAAATTCCCATCACGGTCTCGCACGTGGAGACAAAGTTATAAAACTCAGAAAGGTCCTTGCCGAACACCGCAAACGCGAACAGCGAGTAGGAAATGAAAAACACCAAGAAGACCACAGAAAAGGCAGCCAGAGGACCGGCAGAGCCTTTCAAAGTTTGCGCAAGGATCGTGATCCGACGATTGAATCGTAGAAGCTTGATTCCTTTAATCCAAGCGGTGAATACCACTAACGAAACCATATACATGAATACTTCGTTCCAGGACGCCACTCGGCCAAAACTGACGTATTTGCCAGGGTTGTTTTCGAGGCTGGTAATGGCTTGGTTGACGAGCATCGTGCGAGTGAAAAACATTCCAACACACGTGAACACCAAAATGATCATGGCAAACTCCACGTAGTTCCAGAACTCTTTGAAGTAACCTTTGCGTAGTCTGTAGAGCTGCTTCAGCTCTTGATAGATAAACACGCCAAAGAACAACAGAATGAAAAATTCGCAAACCAGGAGGAACGTTTCGAAACCACCGCCAAAGGTGAAGAGACGAGCAATCTTGAGATCAGTGAACAGGAAAACGCCATTAGTGGGAAGGAATTCAACCACTAGAGTCATGACACAGAACAGATTTGCCACTGGATTGTACGTTGCAATTTCAGTGATGACAGCGCGGGTTTGTGCGTCTATCCAGTTATTCGCTTCCAACGTCTCAATAATCTTAGTGGCATTCTCTCTAGTATATCCTAAGTCAGCGACGAATCCGCCTCCACCGTATGTAGATACGTATCCTAAAGCGCAGAAAATAAAGAAAAGGCACAGTTCACTTTGTGGTACGACCTCTTAGTTATCTCTTATATTTATGCACGCGAGCTCTTTATAAATGTGCCATACTATCTCTTTTAGATTTCAATGGATTGAAAACCATCCTCTCATAGTTTTTTTTTTATTTTTGGAATACAGTGGGCTGCAACTACCTTCTAATAAATTCCATTTTAGATTACAGTAGATTGTAAACAACCACCTTTTCAATAATAGCGCTTGCCCTCCCGCCCCTCCCCCCCTCCCCCCCTACTATCCCCAAACTAAGAATGTACTGGACTCCTGGGATATCACTAATCTGGAACACTTCTTGACAGTTGATATGTCGAGTAGTACACCTCTCATGGGTACTGTTTATCAAAAAGACATACTGCAGATTTGGTAACATTCAAATAGAAGCCGTTTCACAGTTTTTGTAACATGTGTTTCTCTTGATGTTTTTCAACATCTTTTACAATAAGGACACTCAAACCGTGAACACTTGACATTTTTTTGTGTTATTTTTTTTATGACTATAGAATAAAGGCTCTTCATTTAATGTGTAATGTTAGCATTTTTAAAGTGTAAATACACTAAATGATCTTTTTAAAAGGAAGAGTCCGCATTCTATGGTCACTGAAAAAATGTACAAAAAATACCAAGTGTTCATGGTTGGAGTGTACTGACTGTAAAGGTTAAGGGTCTTAGTGCTGGTTAGTTGGTAAAGTAACTTAATACAGACCGCCTCCTCCGGATACCTCACCCGGTCAGCCTTAACTTTATTAATTATCGCAACAGATCATGAGATTTTAGAAATTAGCGGAGACGCACAGTGTGTTCACGTGCAGTCTTACCCATAACAGGCATGGTGTCAAGTTCATCTGAAGTGTTGAACTCCCAGGCCTGGTATGTAAAGGGAGGATTGTAGAGAGACTCGTTCTTCAGTGACTCCCATGCGATGTCATACTGGCCATCGTCCTCAGCGAAAAACCCATACCAGTCATGGCAATCGTCGATGTAACGCCTTAAGTCCGGTGCAACTTGGCAACTTTCTGTCGATTAAAAAAGAATCAAAAGTCTTGGATGATTTAAATAAAATAAATAAAGTACAATATTTAGAGAGGAAGACACATCAGCCTTAGGTGGTTTTCACTGCGGCGACGTCTATCCCGCTTGAATTGGAATTTGGAGATGCTGGTTTTTGTGAAGGGAAGAAAACCAGAGAACCCGGAGAAAACCCTCGGAGCAAGGCGAGAACCAACAACAAACTCAACCCATGTATGGCACCAGGCCGGAATTACACCACATTCAGTACGGCGCAGTTTTCATTTGTGTCGTAACATCAAAATTAAAGTAATCACGTGCACTCTAACGGAGCCAATCACAAATATTGCACGGACAATCCAGTGAACCAATCAAAACTCAAAGTAAAGGCACGTTTGCGAAGTTTTTTAAGCCAGTCCCTTAACGTAGATGTTATGCGAATTGCCGTTTGGCCACTGAAGTGAAAATCCGCTCTATTAAAGACCAATCTCGCTACTTTCATGTAGCGTAATTCTCTCATTTTACTACGATCGAATTACAAACAAATCAAAAAGAGAAAACAAAGAGAGAAATCTTTGCTAATCACTCACGGTTTCCGACTCTGAGTTGTCTTAATCTCGCCATCCCTATGATGTAGGCCGTCAAATCCGCAGTAAAGCCCGGTTCAGTTTCGTTTCCATTGTACCATTCCGTGGTGTACAGAGCGTTCGTCAATGTCGTCTTGGCGTACAGGTAGAAATTTTCACGGCTTCCAATCTAGATTTTGTACGATAAGACACAGAATTAATTCTTGGTAAATCAAACTGCAACTAAGGATTAGTAACTTGTTTTTCCAATGGCGTTTTATAGATTGAGTTAAATGCAGTAGGTCAGACTGTACGTCCACAGTTCATGGTTTATGTTTAACCCAAATGCAAGAACAGGGGCCGGTATATGCCTGAGGCCCAGTCCACCCTACACCGACTGAATTTGAAAACGGAGGTTTCACTCTGAAAACGCATCAAGTGTTTTCCGTCTACACCACGCGAGAGGAATTTAAAAAATGCAACAATAACCAGTCGTTTTAGATTTGTGTTCGAGGAAAACTCGAACAGGGAAATCATATGAGTATTGTGACCTCATCGATTTCAAATTCCTCCAGTTTGAAGAGCGTTTTCGAAAAGCTCCGTTTTCGTGACGGATTAATGTGGACTGTAGGCCTAACCATAGAAATAAAGCTGCCTTTTCAAATTTCTCCGCCGTCATGTGGACGGGGCCTCCGAAGAGCACAGGAAAAATTCCAGTGGTGAGCTGCAATAGCGGCTTCCACTTCATGAAACGGAACCCGGAGCTAAGCGCCAGTCTTAAATAAGACTAGGTGTTCCCTCGACAGATTTAGCTGTACTTACAATTCCACTGGCGGAATAAGAAGGAAAATCACTCAAAACAGCATGGTACGGCACTGCGTGAAGCGAATTATAACACTGATACTCCACCTGCACGTGTGCGAGGCGTGGTTGCCTAATAGTTACTAAACTGAACTTTGACCCAAAGTCCATCGTAATATTAAGTGACCGAACCGCTGACGCCGGCTACTGCGCCGGCGCTACGTACCGATAAAAAGTTCTTTTTGCCTCCGTGAACACCCGCCACAAATGAGTTGTACATTGTTTCCCTGAAAGCGAAGGAAGTTGGATCTCGATGAGAATAGCTGACGATGCACAGACAGGCCACGAAAAACACGTAGAGTGCAACTTCCTTGATGATGGCATTCATCTTCATTTCTTTAAACCTGGAAAATAAGATTATAAACGGGTTTATGAGAAACAATCGGTTCGTGCCACACAAAGACAAATAGGGTCTTAACATATCTTTTTTTCCAGAAAATTACAGGCTTTTTGTAGTACACGAATTTTAAAGAAATCAAAGCGGTTTGGAAATCAATTCAAACCAGTTTCAAAATATGCTCAAGGTCGTTAGTTTATTCAATAAACTTGACGTTGCACGAAACAGTCGATAACGTTCGGCTTATTCATCTGTTCAGAATAAAATTAGACATATATTTCAATGACCTTAAGAAATTTCGAACACTATGAATGTAGCCACCTGCTACAATATACGTTGTCAGCTCATATCCAACTAGCATAAAAACCTCGTGGAATAGATGGCGAAGATAAATTATTTCCTTTGAACAGTAATGGTCTTGTTAGCAAATAGCTTTGGTTCTTGTAAGTCAATAGATTATCATATAATCCAAGTATTGCCTATACATTGAAACAGTTACTCCGCTCAATTTCGTTCTGTTTACAGAAATGCGCCTATTCCCGACATGCGCACACAGTAAACTCAGTCCGATCCATGCGCCTTATTAGTTATGTTCGCATATTCAAGAGATCGTTAGGTACACATAGTGTAATCTTTACCCTATAGAAATAACGATCAAACAATCACCAAAACAGCCAGCCATTGTACCTGAGTTGCCTTGCTTTTTCCAATTTTGTTTTGTCAGGAGGCTGTAAACGAATCAGAGAGTTTGGCTTCACTCTTTTGTCGGTTGATTCTGAAAATAAAAATGGAAAATGAAAGCATTGACAAACAAATATGACTATCAGAACAGAACGCACAGACTATAATACTTAAACGTTACCTAAAAGCATGCTCTCAATTCTAAGATTCTATCTACCTCTTGGTTAAACTTTAGGGGCCTTAAAAATCGATTGTGAAAGAAATCAATTACGACAATATGTTATTAGTACTCTCCAAAACGTAACAAGTGTTAAAACAACGGAATAGCTACCTAACACAGAAAATCAATTGACATTTAACTAACAACGGCAAATGAGCCGAAAACTGCGAAAATAAGTATTTTTTGTAGACACTATGGTTTACATTTATTTTTCATTTACATTGAATACCACAAGATCAAGATCCCTCGCTTTTAATTTCCATAATTTTTTGTTGTTCCTCCGTAAGATACACTGCTGCGTTGGAAAATATTAGTTTTTGTTTCTCCCCAAACAATTAAATAATAGTTGTTTACCATCTTGGGAGAGAGAGGAGTGGCGCTTATTAAAGGAGCTACGTCACGGTTTGCGCATGTTGGTTTTGTGTGTGTGTGTGTGTGTGTGTGTGTGTGTGTGTGTGTGTGTGT